TGAAGTTCAAGCCCTTAGAAAAATATGATAGACAAAAATGAAGGGGTTACATTTTTCTCTGGTTCTAAGTACCATGAAAACATTCCTGATGCACACATTCAGTTGATAACAGTGATTTGAGAAGAATTTACAAGTCCAGATTTCCGTTTGCCTGAGCTGCAATCTGAAGGCAATTGCGGGCTTGGGTGACTAGAGTGTTATATTTGGAGTAAGAAGTGAGTTTATATCTGGCCTCCAATATGAGACTCTGGCTGGGCAAATCACTTAGCCTCAGTTTCCTCAGGAGATATTAATAGCACCTACCTCCAGGGTTGTTGTGAGGATCAAAAGATGTAACATGTAAAAAACTTAGCAGTCTTTAAAGTATATGAAATGCTATCGTTGTTGTTGTTATTCTTTGGCTACTCAGTGAAAATTAGAGCTTAATAAACAATTTCTGGAACCACAGCCCCAATTGCTTATTGAAAAAATTACAGCTTCCAATATTATCTAAGAGAAAATTTGGCTTCTGTTTGGCCAAGAATTGAAAATCCAAATATTCTATACTACACAAATCCAAAATATTCTATACTAAATGTGTCAAATCTTCTGATATGAAAGAAAAAAATAGGGTAGCCCAATTCAATTTAATGTTACCAGCGCTGCTTTCTATTGATAGTAATTCAGATTCCACCACAATCCAGGTAAAGCAGTTTCGTGCTTACTGCTAGTTTAAAAGTCATCCAGGAAAAAAAAAAGTCATCTGGCATAGAAGAGATGTCACATTATCTGCTATTGCAGTTCTCCTGTTACTGGTGGGTAAAAGATTGATTTGGTCTTTAAACAGGTTTTGATTACCTAAAAGCCTCCAATTAAACATGCTAAGCCCATAATATTTTACATTGGATTCAATTCTATTAAATGAATCAAAATGTATTCCTGACAATGCTGCCTTTTTTTTTTTTTTGCTTCCTCATGATGTAAAAGTGACATCTATATATTGTACCAAGGAAACATCTACAAGTTCATTATAGGAGGAAAAGATGCTGCAATTTCCATTCTTGGCTTCCAGTGTTCTACTCAGATTTTATCTTGCAGCAAAAGTAGAATTCTTTCAATAAATGCTTTCTCTCTAAAAATATAACTAGAGCAAACTCTGCAATTACACTTCTTGGTTGGTGACATCTGCTTTCCACGTTTTTTTGTTGAATGCAAAAGGTCCAGATCACTAGTGTGCTAATCAGTCATGCTAATTCCCAAATTTAGTCTAATTAGCTGGAAAATCAAAATGAAACAGGTTTGAATCTCTGTGTTCTTTTTTGAGAGGGTAGTGGGGGATAGTTTTGTGTGTGTGTCTTATTTTAAAGCCAACCTCATATCTTCTCCAAGGAGCATAATCGAGTTCTAGGGTTAGGCAGCCTATAGCTCTCAGTGGTCCCTGAGGTAATTGCTGATATCATTCTACCATTCCTAGCCACATGTACTCATTTATTTTCTCCTTGCTCTTCCTCCTTCTCTCTCTCTTTCTCTTCTTACTTTCTTTTTTCCTGTGTGCATGCTATCTTAGACACCATAATTCCCTTTTGTATAAAAGCACAATATGTGATGCCATCTTCTGGGTTAAAGACCAATTAAATATTAGTACAAGTCAATAAAAAAAAAGTCTTTCTAGAGGTCTGGAAGCCAAAACTCTTTGTGTGTATTATCTTAGCCACCATCCTGAAGGACTAGTAGATTGCCAATGTTGTTCTCATTTTAAAAAAGGGGTTCAGAGGATATACTTAGAACTAAATATTGGTGAATATTACTACTAGCAGATAAGCTTAAAGAAAAAGAAAAGAAAGGATAGTATCATTGAAATTTTATTAAATAAAAATCAATAGGGAATGAGGAAATAATATTTTGATAAGGAACGAATAGAATAAACATAGGAAGATACAGACAAGAGGGAACAAATACAAATAATTTATGTATGAAAAAAGCCTTTACTAATATTCTACTCCAAAAATTATTTTTAAAATGGAATCACTGTGGGATGGCAGAGAATATTTTACTGTGGAAAGGAAACTAGCTTAGAGACAAAAAATAAATGATAGGGTAAAACAGGCAATTCTCTGTATGGGAAAGGGTAAATGTTGGGGTCTCAGAGATAAGAATAAAGATGAGTCAGACTCAAAATTTTCAAAAATAATATATAAGAGCAAGACACAGTGACTGCTTCAGGTTTGCAAATGACATCACAATCTTATAGCTTCCAAAATGCCAAGCCAACTATGATAAATTTCAGGGAAGAAGTATTATCTATAAAAAGAGAATTATCTATAAAAATGGCAGCTGAGCTTCAAAGTGAGCAATTTGTTTAGGGATTACATTCATTTTGGTAGAAAATAATCCAAAATTAAACCCATAGGAGGAAGGTTAATGAACATTCAGCAAAGGGCCTTGGGAGTCATTATGGAATGTTCCCTATTGACACTGCCCCAGCAGCTTCCTTCAGTCAAATGAGGGCAGCAGAATGGTAGGAATTATCAGGAAGGGTATTAGAAACCAAAGAGGGAAAATAATTCACTTTTCTATAAAATTGCGGCTATGATGTTGTCTTTATAGGTTAAATACCAATCAAATATTTTCATAATTCAATTCAAAAAATATCTTCTAAGAGGTCTCGAGAACCAGAACTCTATAGAATCCTTGTTGTCAGACCTCTAGAAAGACCTAACTGATCTGGAAAGCTTCATAGCAGGGTAAAATGATCAAGGGAACACAGAGGGGTGCCCAATGAGAATAGACAAAAAGATTAGGAATCTTCCATCTGGAGAGATGAAAGCTAAGATCTGTTATGATCAGAGTCTATAAAACTGTGAAGGGCACAGAAAGGACAAACTTGCACTTCATGACAAATCACAGTATACTAGAAATAGGATGAAGTAAATGAGGACAAAGAAAAAAAAAGAACTACTTTGAACAGCTAGCACTAAAATTATGGAACTTGTTATCGTACTGAGTGGCAACAGAAATAGGGCTTTGAAAAATTAACCAATGACAGATTCATAATTTTATTACTAAGGGCTGAATTACTAGTGATGCTTTGGGGTAAGTTCATGACCTTGAGGTTTATTTCATGGAGAACAGCACAATCACATCTCCAACAAAATTTCCTGGTTTTCTCTGTCAGAGACAGAATACATGAATGGATGGAGGGATTGTGGGTCTGATCCAGTATAATAATTCTTATGTTATGTTCTTACATTCCCTTTCTCCCCTCCTGTGTCTCATGAATGCTAGCCTGTACCTAAGCGTAGCTTAACTTCTAATGCTGCCTGATGTTAATGAGTTCTATCTAGCCCAATAAAAAGGTGTCTAAGTTTGGGGAACAAACAGCGTGCAGTCGGTGAATGAACAGAATCACAACTCTCTAAGGATGCAGGGGACTTCAGGGGTCATCAGCTGTAATCTTCAGCTCACTTTTACAGAAGGACTTCAAAAGGACTATAATACACAATTGGAGAATTTTTGGGTTATATAAATGTCAGAAGTCGGAAAGATACAATGAAAGATGCACATGTATAACCTATATCAGATTGCTTACTGTCTCAGGGAGGAGGGGAGAGAAGAAGGGAAAGAATCTGGAACTCAAAACTTAAAAAAGACATCTCAAACTGGAAAAAAAAATAAAATAAAGCATAGAGCACACTGGCTAACTCCATGAGATGCCGAATATGCCAGGGGAAAAAAAAAGATACAATGAGAGAGAACAGTCTAGAGTCAGAGAGCCCTGTGCGACCTGGCACCAATAACTCCATCTCCCTTAGCCTTAGTTTCCTTATCTTTAAAATGAAGGGATGGATTAGATTGCTGCTAGAGTTTCTGGCTGTAGATCTATGATCCTGTGATTTTATGTACCTGTTAACTGGACCAAGAAGTCTCCAAACTGAGATTGTTATGTTTCCATACTTTCCATACTTGGCTCCCTATTCTGTGGTAAGGATGCATAAGGGATCTCTCCCCTTTGTCAATATTTCTTCCTCTGGACAAACTTCCAAGCCAACATCAAAACTGGGGCTTCTAAATATAAAGACCTATGTGTAACATTACATGGCCCACCATCCATTCCATAGCCCTCTGTCCCTGCCCCAGCTTTAAATCCCTAGGATTTAAAGGAGGAAAGGACTGCGGCATAATGGGGAGAGTCAGGAAGACCTGAGGTGGTCTCGCCTGGGACACTGGCAAGCTGTGCGACCCCTTAGGCAAGTCTCTTAATCTCTCAGACACTGTTTCCACCATTTATACAGTGAGGGGGTTGGAAAAGACAGCCTCTGAAGTCCTTTCCAGTTCTAAATTTATGATTGTATGAACCTACAACTGAGTTACCTACCGTCAGTATCAGGTCTCCAGCCTTAGCTGTTCACAGACTCTTAAGGCAAAAAACAACTCTACCTCTTGCTCCTCCTATGGCTGCTATTGTCAGCTTCCCTGTCCTCTATAGTCCCCTTCCCACTTATAGAGATGAATCCAAGGAGGGACACTCATTCTCTCTCTCGTAGAATACACCTGGACATCAACCATACTGCAAGGTAGAACAAGGGTGGGGGAGAGGGAAAAAAGGGGGGGGAGACGGAGAGGAAGGAGGAGGAGGAGGAGAAGAGGAGGCAGAGAAAGAAGAGAGGAAGGGAAGGAGAGGGGGGAAGGAGAAGGGGAGAGAGAGGCAGGGAGGAGGGAGGGAGGGATTGAGAAAGAGAAAGGCAAGCAAAGACAGAGTGATGACTAAAGAAAAAGCCTAAGGACCTCAGGCTTAGGGAATTGGGATCAATGACAAGAGGCTACCTTTGTTCGAAGACTAAATTCCATTTGGGTTTTACACTCTAGAAGTATCTAAGAGAAGTGGCTATAGCTAGCTCCTTTTCGTGCAGTATCTGTTCATGGGAAAACAGCTCTCCTTTTGACAAATATCTGCACATAAGCATTCTACATACTGAAAACACACACACACACACACACACAGAGTTTCTCTTTCTACTCACCTACACAGTTATCACAAAGGCTGCAATGAGAGGCACGAGGAGGACGAAAAATCTTGCACGTGAAACAATATTTCAGTTTCACCGTCTGGCCGTTGATGATGACTTCTCTTGTTCGGGGAGGTGGGCGGTACCCCCCTGAACTGGTACCATTTGCTATATCTAGTGGAGAGAAAGGAAAAAGAAACTTCTCAAAAAGAAAAACTTTACAAATTTTTACTCAGGCATTTTGTTGCATCATCCAAGATCTTTTAAGAAATTGGCCACAAGAAGCTTGTGGTATCTGACACCATTTTTACCCCCTCTAACAGAGGAGCAGTCAAACATGGGTGACATTTGTACCAGGAACATTTTCACCTTGTCCTGGTATAGCTTATAGAAAGCACCAAACAACAGATTGTAGAAAATGACATAAAATATCCAACAGCAGCCTGAAACCCCATGGCACAGTTGCTCCCCTTAGGAAAATGGGCACTTATTTTGAATTCTTCAAACTCTTGACTGCTTCTTGTATCTCTTTCAAAAAAGTGTGTCACAAAGGTAAAAGAAGGTATAGCTATCCATTTCCAGTGATGTGGACTTACAGTAACCACGCGTTTTCTGAGAGTAACAGCTGATGATGCTTTTGGTGTAATGATGTTACTGAAGAGAGTGAGGACATTATGTTTAGAGAAGGATTTTTGGGGGGTGTGGCAGGGTTGATGATAGTTGTCTCCAAAAAGTTACAGTGTGGAAGATAAATTGGACTTATTCTGTGTTGTTCTAGAGGGCAGAAATAGAACAATTGTATAGCAGTAACAAAAAGCAAGTTATAATTCAACACAAGGAAGAACTGTCTAGCCATTAGAGCTGCTCAAAAATGGAATTGGCTGCTTCATGAAATAGCGAGTTCCCTCATTACCACTGGGGAGTGGGTTGAACCAGAGAAACATCTAATGCAAAGGATCTATGATTTTATCAGCAGGGGGGAACTCCCAGTGCATGAACACTCATTCCACTAAAGCAGACTTATGGGTGCTCTATATGACTTAGGAGAGTAGTACCAGAAAGTCCGCTGAGTTATGCAAAGGATAAATGACTTGTTCAGGGTCATATAGTTAGTCATTGTCAGAAGTAGGATTTGAACCATGTGGTCAGTCCTGACATTATATCTAGGTCTCTATCTACTATGTCAGACTCTGTCTGTCCTGTATATAGTACTTAGTAAATGTCTCAAATTGATTTCTTCTCCCTAAAATACATATCTCTAATACTAAGAGCCCTTCATGGCACCTGTTTACACATATATAAATATATATGTGTCATCTTCAGCATCGCATCAATACTCAACTATAGGACTATACAGCTAACATCCAGGATTTTCATGCGGTCTATTTCATGGTTCAGAGAAGTTGGCTATTACCTGAAGAGTAAATATTTCTTCGTTCCTTATCCTTACACTGAGTAAATAATTTTCTATATGGTATGATTTCAGAGGTGCCACAAAAGTCCTGCCTCAATCTCACATTCTTTGGTTGGTCCCTGAAATTTCACAATCAAGATTTCAATCTGCTTCACCCTTGGATTTGATAACTGTTAAAAGATCCATCGGAGGGGCAACATTTTAAATTGGTATGGATTCATCACCTTAGAGAGAAGGAAAGAAGGGAACAGGGAACAAGGTCTGATGGGGATTTTGCAGAGGAGATGACAGAGCATCGAGTACTTGAGATAGGAGGAAGAACATCAAGGAGGAGGAAAGGGTTTGAATGAGGTATTGAGAGGTACCAAAGACAAATTCTACCGAATTAGAATCTTTGTCAAGGGCCGGTCCTATTCCACAGAATTATTAAACAAATGTTGAGCAGTTCCCAGGACTCCACACTAGTGAGTCAACTTGGCATGTGCCCTGACAATCAAACACACCTCAGTTTTGACACTACGGATGGCTGCCCCATGTGGTGCCTTTAAGAAAATATTGAGTTATGCTAAAATAAAGAGTAGCCACTAATCTCCAATAATTTCTACTTTAGGACATAATGTGCTATCTCATCCAATTAACATATAGAAAGCTCTTTATAAACCTTAAAGCCTTATATAAATGCTGGCACCTATGTGATGCAGTGGATAGAGTGCCAGACCTGGAGTCAGGAAGACCTGAGTTCAAATTTGGCCTCAGATACTTCCTAGCTATGTGGCCTAGGGCAAGTATTTAGCCATTTGCCTCAGCGTCTTCATCTGTAAAATGGGGATAATAATAGCACCTATCTCCCTGTGTTTTTATAAAGATCAAATAAGATAACAACTGTAAAGTGCATAGACTTGCTACTATGTGCCTGGCACATAGTAGGCACTATTAAAATGTCAGTTATTTATTATTATTTTTGCTGATTATTATAGCTAACACATGACAAGTCTCTCCAGTTCTAACTCATCTGTCTTTTGTGGTCTTAGAGGGGTAACTGTGGCACTGAGACACTGAGTGATTTCCCCATAGTCACACAACCAATATGAGTCAGAGCTAGTATAGACTTGAATTAGGATCATTCTAACTCCAAAGCCAGTGCTCTATCTACTTTAATTACCTCAATTTTGTACACAGTAGGTACTAAATAAATGTTTGTTGAAGACTAAAGAGATGCAAGAGCTTTGTAAACTTTTAAAGGCTATATAAATATGAGTTATTAGTATTTTTACATACTGTAGTCATTTGAAAAGTGAACAAAAATAAATTACTTTAAATGATACATGGATCAGGGCAAACCATTTGTGTGCCCAAGCCAAGTATACGCCAAATGAATCCAAATTAAAAGTAATTTGGTCGTTCATGTAGCTTATATAATTTTTGTTTCTAGTGTTCCTCCAGTTTTCCTAAAAGATATGGTTAGAAAAGAGTGGGGCTACAGATCTGATAGATTTTTTTAAAAGTCAGGATAACAATTTGTATTTAATTAGAAGTCCTCTGAATTTTTTATGAAATTTTCAGAACAAATATGAAGGCCAAGAAAGATTTATTTACTAAATTTCTAATTGGCCATTGATAAATCTGTTGGTGAGCAGGCCTTATGTCAGGTTCTACTGATCTTTCAGTTCTAAGCCTCATCTTTATATGTTTATAACTTTGTTGTAAAGTTGAGCTGGAGGGCAAACTTGAACAGACTTGTTCAATTTGGACTTGGGAGAGGAAAGCAAAAGAGAAACACAAAGAAACTCATGCTTTTTGGTGATATAGCTATAAAACTTAATGGTGTAGACCAGAGATGGGGGTAGGGACCCAGGGGACCTGGGCTCTAGATTCATGTCTCTATTAGCTTAGGCCTGTTAGTAGTTTTCTGCACATGGGGGGAAAATCGCCTTGTCTGCTCATAAGGCTATTTTGAATATGAAATAGGTAATAGATGACAATATCTAATGTCTCTGTGATTTCTACATTGAAAAGTTAAAACCACTGTGCAAATGCATGGTATCTCTAGCAGTTATAATGCTATACATACAACATGAGATTTAATAGGGCTGACTCAGCTGATTGGAAAATAAGCATTTATTAAGTGCATACTATGTGCTGGGCATTGCACTTAGTGCTGTACTGATGTCTCAATAACTTGAACCTTTACTATGAGTATCCAGAGATACCTACATTTCTATTGCCCATTTTGCTTTATGTTATCTTCAAAATGCTCTGCTACCTGTTATTGCCTAGCCACCCCCTGCTACCAGTGTCTCTCTACTAAGTGATTATGCCTTGCCTTGGAAAGTCCATCCCCCAAAGGCATTATGTGGTTGCTACTCATGTCAATCTTGTAACGTACTTTTCTGAGACTGCTAACATAAGACCACTGCGTAGGTGGGTAAGGGGTGGGGGGAGTGTTTGCAATCCTCAGAATGTCTGTGTGGATTATTATTTTTCATTTATTAATATTATTTGAACCTAGCTTTATGTGTCTAAAAAAATTATCTAATCCAAAAAGCTTACCATAGAGGTCAGGCTTCATCCAGAAATGTTCTAGGGAATTCAGATGGTTTTAAGGAATGCTTAGATCCCAGCCAGTACTTGTTTTGGGTCCACCCAAAGTTTGTGTTTTGGGTTTCCCAAAAGAGATCGACTTACCTGCTGATATAGATCTCAAACTGCCCTTCTTTTGGAGACTATCTATTACTTACTTGAGGCCAGTCAGGCAAAAGCCCTTATGCCCTTTTCTAAACTCTATATAATATAACCTCATAAAGAATTGAAAAGGGAGCCATCTCTTTTTTCCATCTCTCTCTCTCCCAAATAACCTAACAAATTTCTTTCTAAAACTATTTCAGATTTTGGGGTTTGTCCTCGTGAATAACACCTGTTGATGGTCACATATGAAGAATGGACCTGGAAACCAATGACTTCAAATCCCCTTCCTTAAAAAAAAAAAGTCTTATCCCAATCTCAGCCTCTAGTAAATGGAGATTATTATACCTCTCTCTTGCCCAAGGAGGCTAAGATGATCCATGCCTGTGAAGTTCCTGCTCTTTTGTCGGATATTGGGGGCCCTGAAGGTTGGTGTTCTGGTCTAATCTTCAATAATGTTGCTTTTTGTTAGGGACAGTTGTGCCCCTAAGTCTTAGTGCCTAGGTGTGGTTTGATAAGAGCTACTTAAAAAACGAAAAACACACCCACAGTCATCTTTAGTTAATGGCAAATGATGACAGGAAATTTTGGAGAAATCCTACTATAGTTCTTTTGGTTTCGGTGAGTCCCATACCCCTAAAGGGTAAAAGGACTTATCTGCCCAGATTTGTTATCAAAGAATCTTGAAAGCTTGAAGAGGGGTTTTCCTTCTTAAAGAATTGTTTCATTCCTGGCAAAGACACATAAACAAAAGAACATAGCATCTTGTGACCATGTCCAAACTAGGTGAACAATAGAAAAGAAGAAACAGGGATGTTTTCCAGTTTTTTTTACTTTAGGAACACTCAATTAGTTGTCTACTTAGCAGTCCTGCTGTAATGGGGGGAGCATTGGTCTTGCTGAAGTCAAAAGACTTGAGTTTGAGCACATGCTCTGCTACTTACTAGCTCCAGGATTACGGTAGATCACTTAACCTCTCTCAGCCTAAGTTTTGTCACCTGTAAAATGGGAGTATTAATACTTGTATTACCTTTCTCAATATGTTGTTGTTGTTCAGGAGCGTCTGACTCTTTATGAT